CTGGTTCAGGAGAAGAGGAGATAATGGAAGTAGGGTCTTGTATGCGTGCGGACACTGAACGCGGTCAAGTGAAAAGGGGATTTTGGCTCTAAAAATCCTATAGCTTCTGAATCTCTGGCCTTGATGATAAAATGCTGAGTGATATTCGATGAGTGGCGTAAACAGGAGGCATCTGGGATTAATCGAGGTTGAGAAGAAGAACTAGTATATGGTTTTCCAAATGGGTACCTAAGACGGGCACGGCATACTTTGCGGTAGCCCACACCGACGAAAGGGATTTTCTTTGGGAACCCTAACCGGAGCCTTCGACCCAAAAGTCCCACAAGGCAGTGAGGCGTAAATCCAATGCGGGAGCGTAAACAGAGCACCCTTGTGGGAGCTTCTAGAGACTTGCCACGCAAGGCCTTTGAATTTCAATTCAGTGTGTTGTTCGCTGGTGCGTTGCGTGTCGGTCCGCTTTTCGGGATCGGCCCTCAGCCTCATGCACCTAATGAGACAAGCGGAACGTGGACGGGACAGCACCTTATTGGCTGGGGGCTGCCCAGCTTGCGCGGGCGGTAGCTGTCCAATGAAGTGCGAAGATTTCTCCCACCATCGAGAGGAAGCCCCAGGTACCCCGCTCCTACGTCCATCTAGCGGTGGTTTTTCGACCGATAAACTGTCCCTCACCGTGTTTATTTGCTGCAGTGGCTTCTCCAGGGGCGGGTGTGGATAGAAGAAAGAAGCCTGGGGGTGCGCAAGCAGCTGGCCTTGTGAGACTGAGCTTCGTCTGGCCTCTACCCGTTGACCTTTCACGCATGATTGGATCTACGGCTGTGAGAAGCCATCCTGTGTAGGTCGCAGGGTCACTGAGGCGCGCAAGCCATCACACCACGTCAATGTGCAGTCTCGTCGTGATTGCGCATGGCAAACGAATCAGTGTCCAACACGGAAGGCCAGATTTAAAGATCACTATACTAAGCAGTCGATGGCGAAATAATACAGTTCAGAGTGCAATAGTCTTCAGTCAACTTTTCTAAATTCCACGGTCGCATCGCATAGGAAAATGAAGTAATTTTCCATTACACTTAACTGTGAAGCTGTTAGTGTCAACAATTGCCGTATTGACACATCCAATAAATTGACCTGAACAACGGTAACTGAAACAACAAACTCATTATTTATGGAGGAAAACAAGCGCCATATTCATACATGAGTTAGGTGTTGATATGAAGCACATATAATCAATCGAATACTTACCGTTCTCCATACTGGTCTTTACCACTCCCGGATGATTTCCCCTGAGATGGTCCAGGGTTTGTTGATCGGTTTGTGGTCTGATCCAAATACCCGTTCACCGATGGCTCACCAACCGGGTTCGATTCTGTGGAAGAAACAACGGTCGGCGCAACAGACGTGTAAGAACTAGATTCGTGGCCCCCAGCAATCTGGGAATTGCTGCGGACGTCCGCGGTCACATCTAACATTACCAAACTAGGAACCGAACCTGTACGGAAGAAGTATAGAGTTCAAAGAAATCAATTTTACTATGTGCCTATGCACATCATTTCGGTTAAGTCAATCCTTGGGTTCGTTTGTTTTCCAAATTAGCGAGAAAAAGTTCGCTCAAAGATAACGGTAAAATTAAGCTCCATTCGTGAAAAAATGGAATGACCCACTCAGTGTAACTTGGTGTCGTTCAAGAAATTCTATCACTTCGGATGGGGCACCAGTACTCATCTGTTCCATCCTCGGCACATGAACTCGGGAAACCCAGTGGGTACCAGGGACAGGGGAAATGCACGTCAATGTGCTTTCGTCACAGTTCGATTCAGTATGGGATTCAGGAAAGTGTCGAAACTTTTTATTACCTCCGTCATACCCCGCCACACCCTTTAACCGAAAATCATCATCTTATTTCAGTTTTTGGTCACTGGAAGTGGTTCCGTGAATAGTTGCACATGGATAATGAAACACTTCTCACAATAGCTAAAATTTGAGTAGTTTTGAAACGATGAACAAGATTAGACGATAAGATAAGATGATATAAGAACCGTACAAAGTGTGGTTATCCGTTTCATTTGATTGAAGAGGGTTTTACCAACAATATCCATCCGACTTCTTACAAAATTCTTCCATAAATGTTTGCTCGGATGTTTCATAACGGGTCAATTGTCGGTAATCCGGCCATGGGAGCTTGAGTGCTGGTACAAATTATCTTTGAGCATATAACAATCGCACAAACAATTTGTGCAAGCGCTTAAGCTCTCATGGTCGGATTGCCGACAAGTGACCCGTCATGAAACATCCGAGTAAGTGATAATTGGGGATCGATGAAAATCATTATGGGCAACTAGCAGATTTAACACCATCATCTCAACTCGAGGTTCAGAAGTTTAAATTCGATTTGGTTTAGACATCTAACATCTACAGAAACGACTAAACGGCTACCAAAATCGGAGCATTTCAAAAAGCTGAAACACCTGAAAAACAATAAGGACATTATAATCACATGACCGGATAAACGTGCGGGAATCGTTATACTGAATCGAACAGACTAAATTACCAAGATGAACGAACTAGTCGGTGACAGTACGAAGTTCACATCTAACACCTGGGAGAAAGATAAGACTCCTGGTATAGACAGTAGAATATCTGATGTGATCAGACAAATAAAACAAGATGGCGTAATCAATTCGTCCAATTATCAGAGAATTAAACCGATCGGAACCAAAATACCTCGGCTATACGGACATCCTAATATTCACGAAAATGGGGTACCGTTGCATCACATTTTGGATATGAGTAATTCGCCGTACCACGCTTTGGCAAAATGGCCAGCCAATCTACTCGAATCAGTCAGAAGAAACATCGAAAAGTTCAGTCTACGAGACTCGTTTGATTTTTTCAATCACATTGCACCAATTAACTTAACCGATAAGCAGATGTTCTCGCTAGACGTTACCGCATTAGTTACCAATGTACCATTCCAAGAGGCTAGATAATTCATCGCTAATTATACACAGCAATCGGGAGCTTCTGTTGGACTTCCCGTAGCTGAGCTCAAGAGACTTCTTTATCTATGCATATATACAATTTCAATTTAATGGCGCAAATTATGGACAGAAAGACGGAATAGCCATGGGTTCGCCATTAGGATCATTATTAGATATTTTCAGAGCCAAATTAGAAAACGGAGAACTCTCAAAACTCACAGAAGAATCTCCCTTATATAGACACTATGTGGGTGACATCGTATGCGTATAAGATGCTGATATTTTGTTGAAGAGACTCAATAAAGCTCAGCCGAAAATAGGGTTCACGTTGGAAAAGAAATCCACAAATAGTCTCGCATTTCTAGATGTGTCCTTGTCTCGACGATGAGGTGTCTCCACTCGTAGAAATATTCACCATAAGAAAACATGAACAAGACGGTAAACACACTAAAAAAGTTTCGTCCCATTGCAACAGAAGAAAAAATTCGTTTCACTTCTTAAGCAATAGAGTTGGAAAACTTTTTTCTTCGGACACTGTCGAGTTTGAACTGGGGAGAATGAATGTTTTTCTAGAGAATGAATATCCCGAATCATTCATTCATAAAAGAACGGTATCATACCCAAACAAGACAATATGTGAGCTCCATTTTTCGCTCTTTTTCTTCCTTCTTGGGTTCAGCGTAAGACCGGTACATATCAACGAATCTTTCTTAATCTCCAATTCACATATGCTTCATCGTCGCCAGGCCGCGTCACGACCTTTTTGCTACCGGTATTATTTTGGTTTCTATTCTTCAGAACTAGTTTCGATGGATTATCTCTCCAGTTCGCTTTCTCGTTCATTTGGAACCATGACCAGTGACTGTGTGAGATGTGTACAGCATCCTATATCGTATTTGACTGAATAACTCAGCGATATATAGCAACGCAGTCAGCATTAAGACTATCCAACATTTGGCATTTAGTGTCTGAGGATGATGAAATTATAGAGGGAGCAGGGTTTGTGAGTAATAATATCTATTACTGTTACTCCGATCGCTATTCCTGAGCGTGCTGTGCACTTATTTAAATTGGAAAAAGAAACGTGTGGTCCTAAAGGATGGTAACCAGCATTCCATGCAAATAACAGTTCACTAAATTGGTACACAACTCGGTGAGATCGTATAGATTCGTAGGGGGAAGGAGACTGTGTAAACGAGTGGCATACTAGCCACAGGAAAGAGAAAAACAGCTCCGGAACAAGGATGACTCAATGTCAAATGGTTCATACCCTGAAGCTAACGGTTTGCACGCATGCCTATTCACCAAGGTAAGCTACACCTCACACGCGTGAGCTAAGAGAAAATCATTAAGGCGGACAGAAACTGAGAAGGATGAGCAATTATGAAGTGCAGAAATTTCCATTTTGAAGGCACGCATGCGGGAGGCACAGGTCACAGGCGACCGAGGGAAAGACGAATGTCCGCAGAGTATGAATAGGTGAATAGCGTATACGCATTCACCAATGCGTACGCACACAAGCCTGATGACTATCGCCCTGATTCAACTGCCGCTCAGCAAGCCTGACGTGGAAGCCGGTGGGGATAAATGAGGGGCTACACCCATACACAGACAG